TCAGGCTGGGGCCGCACGCCGTCGTCGGGACTCGGACGGCTACCGCGAGGACTCAACCCTGAATTTGTTCGAAGAAATTAGGGTGCGCGTCGACCGAAAACCTACTTGGCCCGGCCTCCATTGTTGCCTTGATAATTACCGCCAAGTAGGAGGTACGATGGATTCCCAGCCAAAGACTGCTTTGGTTTGTACCTTTCTAACCACGTGGATCTACTGGACCAATCAATCTGCTCAAAGCTCACAGAAACAACTTTCTGGAATGCTCTCGGCAGCTTTCCGGTTGATGCGAACGCTTACGCCAGCATACTCAATGGCACCAGCTAGAATTCAAACCAGTTCAGCAAGAGGGTATTCTTGAATCTTGTATGACACGGCTTAACGGAGGGACAAACCTCCGGGGTTGGTACACGGGCCTCAGCCGGGGGTCTAATTGACTTTTTCACCTTCAGCCGGGTAAGGGCTGGATAAGAGCCCTCACCCAAGATTGGTTGCATGCCTGCCATGTTAGGCTTGCGAGCCCTCACCCTGGTTGACGTCAACCAGGAACGGTTTATCGTCAACCTGGGCAGGATTGGCTGACCGTGAATTGTCATGGCGTGCTCGTCTATTCTTAACCGAGAAAGTCGAGAACGGCTAGCAGTCAATGAAAGAGAGGTCTACACCTATGTAAGATAAGGGCGGTATCATCCGGAAAGGACGCACTGACACAATCCTGCGACATTCCCACAGATATGCAGGTACGGTTAAGAAGGTTCCAAAAGAATCAGCGAGAAGCTTTTAAAGCACTCCAGATCCAAAAGTAAGCAACACAAGAAGCTTTCACGAGGTGCTTCGGGGTCAAACCCACACAGAAATGAGAAGCTTGCGAGTCAGAGCATTGACCTTGCTGCTACTCCTGACATGCTTCAGCCGAGAGCGGCCCATCGCTAAAGAATGTGAAAAGCTGTGCGGATAGATGCAGGAAGAAAGTCGGAGTCTCCTTAGCCCAAAAAGACGAGAAGAACACGTCTCAGCTTTGACGAATCACAATGCAGCAGGATAAGAGAAGTTTGGTCGGTGCAAACGGGCCACTCTGAGTCTACACGCGCAAGTCTACACGCGCAAGTCTACACGCGAGCTAAGCTACAGACTCAAGGTTGCAAAGTACAGACTGTGCTATCCAAATTACAAAACGTGTCTCACTGCACCGCGAACTGCCCCCGCTTGAGCCCTAGGCCGATGAGGCATTCTACAGAGATGTACGAGCTGCGCAAAGAAGGAACACGTTGGGACTTCAGCCGAGGGGGCCTGATCACCAAGGATGTTCCCCTCGCAGTCACAACACGTACATGGCTCGTGAGTAAGATCCAAAGAGATACGTTCCTCCGTGCGCTCTTCAGCCTTTGCCACACGTGTACCAAGGTGTTGCTCGGAAGTCAGTAGATAACCAGATTTGAAATTCTACTTGAGATTTCCTTTCTGCGGCCCTCTTTCGACCTTCAGCTGGCCAGAACGTAATGGAACCAACTGCGACCCGTTGATTCAGCCGAGATTTGAACGGAATGGGTTCAGAACAATAATACAACCAGGGTGATGGCAAACGGCAGCCTGTCGTTGCCCATCACCTAAAGAAAAGGTAAGAAACGGGCTACTGTGCCAGAGCAAACATTCCTTACCTTACAAGCAAAAATGGTCCTTTCAGCTCTCGTCGGGGTCGCACGTTGTACCCGGACCTCACGGTGCTGCGCATAACATACATCGGCATCTTCGCCAAGGGCTGCAGAAAGAAACGAAAGCCAGACTGGTTAGATGTGCTGAAGGACAGGAGTGCAATCATGATCAGTCCGTTCGAGCCTCGATTCAGGGCTCCTGCACAATCGAAATTCAAAACGCGAGACATGAGCCGTACTTTAGAACGCGAGCAGTTTTCTTAGAACAAAGAGCGTTGTAGCGGGTCTGAACAGATTCGGCTCAGATACAAGAGTTTTCATGTTGAATGCACGTTGAAACGAGCATGGGCAGTCCCTCAGTATGGATAAGGATCCTTGCAAAGGAACATTGAACCATTTGCAGAAAATTGCATACGAGAATATCACCAAAGGAGATACCTGAACGGGAGAACCTTCCAATAAGAACGACACAGAATACAGCGAAGCAGTGACCAAGCCTTTAATATTGAGGCCTCCGAAAAAAAGTGATGCCCTCACAGAAGAAGACGACAGCGCCGATGAGACCCTCACAAAACGGCCTTCGTTTTAGGCAAGAAACCAAACTTGCAACAAGATAGACGTCTCAAAGTACTTGACATCTACTAGGCTTCCCTCTAATCAAGAGCAGTTGAGTCAAACCTCTAATAAGCGGATATGCGGGTGTGCCTGTAATGCCGGAAACAGAATCACTCGGTTACGTCCAGTCCTGACCTGGCGCGAGACTGTTTTCTGGCCTCCTCCGGGTGCAGCTCCACGAAACCTGCTCGCGCGCTTGCCTCGCGCTGAGCTTCGACTCCGCGGCCTCGCCCTTGAAGGCCGGCTCTGTTAGCTTGCTCTTGGAGAACTTCCGCTGAGCGCGTTCCTGCGGAATGGGCGGCCGGAAACGTTGTGAGACAGCTCCAGAATTGTCCAGGATGCGGGCGAAAGACGAGAGGCGGACCAGGACCTTTGACTCTGAGACTGCATCTGTGGAGACGACAATGAATTGATATACGGCACTCGCAAGTACGTAGTGACGTGGTTGTGACGACGACGCCAAGTCTAGCGACAATTATGATGGACAATTGGAGGGGAAAGACCGACGGAGACAGAGGGAACGGATTGGAATTCTTGAGGCGCTCAATTTGCTGTTTATTCGATGTCAGAAACAGCATCCTCCTGTCGAAAAGATGGAAACTTTACCAACTGACTGGAGCAGTAGATTGCGGTCACGTTCCCTTTGCGCCAGAAAGATTCTCCGCACTGGTTGGAATTTTGACAAATTGTTGGACGTCAAATCCCTTCCGGAACGGGAAAGCATCCGGACCAGTCACAGCGTGAGCCTCACTGGAACCCGGCTCAGAATGGATTTTCCCCAGCGCTCTGGACCGCCCATCTCAAGATTCAGCAGACTGTGCCCTTGGGTGACCGGGTCTGAAAGATCATCGATTGTGACGTACAGAGATTACTTAGGGAAGCCTCCGACGAACGAACTTGAAAATTTCTGAAAACCTCACCGGGGAGAGATTGTTGCTGTCAATTTCTGAGGTCCGTCGGAAGGATGGAGCCGGTGCCTAGTCCGCTGGTTCCGACGATGGTCAACGGAAACGGAAGCACGTCCAAGGTGGCCACCTGAGCCCTGTCAATTAAGGCTGAAAGATTGAGTCAACAACGACCGACCTGACCCGGTACCCAGAAACGACGACGGAAACAGAAAGTTGACGGAAGTACGTTAAAGTGGCGCCCCTAAGCCCTGTGCAGCAAAGGGTGCAGGTCTGTGTCGAGCAAGAATTGCATAATTCGGTATCAGAAGCGGGAATGGGAACGGAAAGGGAATCGAAGAAGGAAACGGAAGTCCGTCCACAGTCCCCTGAGCCCTGTCAACCAAAGGCGAAAGTCAGCAGAGTATAACTATCCCCGCACCCAAAGGCTGAAACGGGAATGGAAACGGACGCACGTTCACGCAGGCGCCTCGAGTTTCTGACAACAACAGTGAAGGTCTGATGTGAACTATTCGCAGATATGTAACGAAACGGAACGATCACGACCACGGTAGCGCCCTGAGCTGTATGCACCAGGATTCAGGCTTGGGTTGGCAAAGCGAACTACCGGGGTACTCGAAAATGGGAACGGTCAAAACGGAGATAGACTTGGAAACGATAAGACGTAAACAGTGGTGCCCCGACCCTTGTGCAGCAAAAGGAAGTTCTGAGTCAGCAAGGCTCGAGGTACTCTCGCAATCCGGGAACGAAAACGTAAACGGCATAACGAAAACGAGATGGGAAGCATATCCAGGGTGCCACCCTGATCCTGAGTCTTCGAAGAGACTATATCAGATCGGACCTCAGCATCTGGATTGGAACCGGAGATTGATCCATGTTGGCGCCCTTGATCAGCCCTCTGCCACCAGAATTGGAGCTTGGGTTAACTGAGTGATTGGGCGGTAATCACGAACGGAAACGGATTCGCAAAGGAATACCGAAAGACGACCAAGATAGCCGGCCCCAGTAATTTGAGCAAGCAACGAGCCCCGTACGTGGGGGAGTTTCATCACGGCCAAAAGGAGGAGGAGGAGGGAAGGAACAAACCTGGGAAGAAAGGGAGCACACGCCCCTGCAGATACTGACGACGGCGTTGCACCAGGCGAGGAGAAAGAACCGAGTCCGTCGAATCACGTCGACTCACAGCGGAAGAAGAGCATTTTCTTGCCTGCAATTAGCAGCAGACAGCAGCCTGACGTCAGCGTTCCCTCAGCGACTTATGAGCCGACGACGTCAGCAACGTGCAATCTCGGATTCCGTGACGATCGGTGCAAGGTTTGCTTGTACGCAGCCCGCAGATCCTCAAAACGTTGAAAGAGACGGCCCAGATACAGCACAGAAGCGCACTCACACGCTGCATAGGTTCGCAGTAAAAAGCAGCAGGAGACTAGGAACAGCGCATTCGCGAACTTTCCAGCGACAAATCGCCCCGGACCATGCATCCCCAGTCGCCAAGGCACGTGCCCTTGAATTTGCAGTAACCTCACAGTAGCAGGCTTCAGAATCTTTCAAGTCTGTCGCAGAGATTTAAAGGAGAACCAGACACGCCCCTATCCCGATGTAAACTTGCTCTCGAAAGGGTCAAATGTGCACCCAACCGGAATCCTCCAAAAGTGAAGGAACCATTTCCAACCCGCAGGCCACCCTCGCTCCTTGCTGATCAGATCACGGGAAAAGCGAGATATACTTCCTAAGAGCACGTTCACACCTTGCACGCCCATCGTCTGGAGGAGCTGTGTGAATCCGCCCGCCGGTATGACCTGTCCTTTAGGGTACGAATTGTTCGGATCGAGTTCCGTGACGGTGTCCGAAGGTGCTCGGCGTCCGTCAGCGTCCGACACATGGGCCTGCACGTCAGATTGTTGATCTGAGCATCATCTGGCTAAGATTCGTCGCCTGGGTTTCAGGAGCCTGAACGAAACGAACGGAAGCGGGGTTCGAGAGACTTGTACGGCTTTGAAAGGGATAAGGTAGTTTCGCCCGCTTCTTCGTGATTTTGGTCGCGAGGCAAGCCTCCGCGTGGTCGGGGCCCACCAGGTCCAGGAGCCTGAACGGAACAAACGGAAACGGAACGGAGGGAACCATGGTTTCTGAGACTCAAGGGTGTTTGGTCGCGTTCTTGACTCGACGGCAAGAAAAACTTCCGCTTGATGGGAGTGCAGTCATTCAGGATTTCAATGAAGCGAAGCAAATGGAGAGTCGAAGAACGAAGACTGACGGGACTCCTCTGGCTTTCCAGTCGCCAGAGGGTTCTCGCGTGGTGGTAGCCGGCTAGGTTTCAGGATTCGAGCGCAAGAGGAAATGAAGGGCCAAAAAAATCAACCGATGAGAAGTCCACCGAAGGACTTGAAGTTGCATTCGCTGAAACGGGTGACTCTTTCTCCCCCTAGGCAAGCATGGCAAGCGGAACGACACGAGCAGTGTATTTAATTTGATTGGTTGCGAACGCTTTTATGACGATTCTCTGCTCACAAAGGTAAGAAGGAGCTGCATTTCGAGCGGCCCGGGTCCCAATGTTGCAACAAACCGTTGAACCTGATGGGGTCCAGAGTGGGAGTTCGGCTCACCAGCAGCGTACTCCATTCGGGTTGCGCACACGTAGTGCTTGAGGGCGACCGGCCGCGTTCGTGTTGATCTTGATCATTGGTTGCAGATGCCATTTAACGCGCACGTCGCGTCGGAGCTCCGTCGCTACCCAGATTTCGCGATCGGCTTGCCGTTTGGAGAACTAGATTTGAGAGCGCAGGCTAAATGATTCATCCTTGAGTTGCCTTGCTGTAAGTGTGGCGCATACGTGGGTGCTGACAAGCATTTATATAGCCATGCACGTACTATATGGTACTAAGATGGTCGGATGCAAGATGGATCATATGCTGCAGACATGGCCTCGTTGTGATCCAAGAGGCAAGACATTAAGTGCTAGAATTGGAGGCCGACGGGCAACATCTGTAAGAGTCCTCAAGCTGGAAAAGCACCGAGACGATGCACCCACAAATCAACTCGAAGTTTCCAAAGTTCTAAGCAACGCAAGCCGAGCTTGTCAAACACAAGCACTCGTACACTCTTCCGTGATTCAGAGGCCTAGTGATTGTCGATCCTAATCTAAGATGGCAGTTTGACCAAGCCTGCTGAAAACGCGGCCCCCAGGATAATGAACGGAAGGAAGATCGATAGAACTCCGATGATGGCCAGAGGATCCGCGAAGGTACTCTTTCCCTGAAGCTCAGCCTTCGTCTGAAAGTATCTGCACAAGGTTACGGGCCATCAGATCTCCTTTCGAATCACTAGAGTTCTTTGAGCGGCGTTCTGAGCGCTTCTTCAATAGAGAAGACCGTCATGAAAGTCTCCAGAGATGATCGAGCGATACCCGGTTCACTCCCTGCACGACTGCTGCTTCAACTAGAAACTAGCCTGTAAGAAACGAGTTCAATCAGCCTCGAGTCGAAATCAGGATCCGGAATTTACAAACGTCAACCCATGCCCTTGAAACTAAACGAAGTGGAGCAACTTTGCGCTTTGTAAAAGTTGACCGGTGCGGCGCCCTTACTCTTGTGGCTCCTCTTCTCTCTTGATGCCCTTTTTCTTCTTGTCCTCAGCGTTGCCACCACCTGCAGTGCACAACAGTTGACCAGGTTTCAGGCCACTGTATGTCAGTCGCGTCGACGTATCATGAAGAAAAGCGGCCACTTTCGCGTCCACTTTTTAGGCCAGACTGTCACCCTTCCGGGAAGGTTCTGCCTGGCAAATAACAAGATGGGACACAGTTCAACCATCTTCAAGGGTTAAAAATACCAAGACCCGCACAGAAGAAGCTCCGAGTGATGTCATTGGCTTTCGGAGGACTCAAGATCAATACTCCCGCAATTACCAAATGAGTAGGCATCCTTGAGTGCCGACAACTTAGCTTCTTATCACAAGAAGGTCCTATTTAAAAGGGATATGTTGGATGATCATACAATCGCGTCAAACGGTAACCCTGGTATCGCAAATGTGGTGCAAGTTGAGAGCAGGTCAGATGGTTCAGTCACCAGGTCCATGACAAGAGTCAGTGATCTTTGTAAGATGCCTTGTAATGACACACTATGTTAGCAGCTCATGAAAAGCAGTGCCGCATCTGCTAAAAGATGTCGTTTGACGTGTCCCCCTAGACGACATGCGCCCATTCCTTCCTGATTGTTTGAGCGACACGCGATGCAAGCCTTGTTCAAAAGACGCTGAAGACTGGAAAAGCGCAACAGCATCCAGAAAGACAAGGCATGTAGATGACCGACAGTTCCCCAAGATCAAGTTCGCTCAGTCCTTCGATTTTAAAGCAAGGTTCACTGTTTAAAGCCAGCAGAGGAAGATTTTCCAGTGTTGGACAATCTTACAGAATAGACTTATTGTGAGAATCTGATTGAAGGGAACCCGTTAAAGCTCCTCTAAGAAGAACGTAACAATGGTTCATCGGGGCTCGAAAAGTTGATTGGTACTGTCTGTCTGATCATGTTCAAGCCACTATTTCTGGTCATGGACCAGTAGTAAGGACGCAGACCGAGTGCCTTTCAAGACGCTTAGAGTTCTGAACTTGGGGTTATGGATTAGCAGAACCTCAGCTGACACCACCAGTAACAAATTTCTGGAATGGCCGCTAAGATACTTTAGGAGAGATGATGAACGCCCAGTTCCATTTCCACAGAACAGAGAACGAGGAATCTGGATGCCCAATCTAAGTGTCTGCGACTTTCTCTGACATGACAGAGCAGCGCGACTGAGGTATTATGTATCTACTATCACTTCCTTTCTAGCCTGGCTCTCAAGCAGTCGATGAAATCACTTCCAAGTGACCGCCACTTTGGACATACCACCACAACAAGCTCAAGCAGCAGTTGCCGGTTTACCAGTTGTACATCGCGCACTTTGGAAAGGTCGGACTCTGGTTAAGATGAAACACGATAGCACTTCAGCCGAAAAATCTCAAGACAGCAGGCCAACTAAGGCGTTCGCATTCAAAAAGTATCTTTCATAGAGCTATGTCACCGGAATGGCTGCGGGCGCCACAATGTGGGTATGTCGCTTGACCCAACCCTTATAGATGATGCTTACCTCCAAAAAGTGCCCTAACCGGACCCCGGCTAGACCTGCCCTCGTCCGTCATCGGTCTACATAGGGTTTGAGCATGCAATCTGTTTAGCGGCACAAATGCAGAGTCCCGCCCGATACGCGAAGTGATGCAAGAGGCACTGCTGTGCCTCCTGGGAACAGCAGTGTCGGTTGGAAGCTGCGCAACGGCAGCGAGCCCCGAAGCAACCGTGCTCTGGATTGCAGCCGCCATGACTTCCTCTCCCCCGCTGCCTGGACTGATTGACTGGAGAGTGGAGAGTCGAGACTGGATTCCAGACTCCAGAGTGTCCATGCAGTGCTCACTTCCATGCTGGGGCAGCGCGCTACGCGCGCGGGCGCGGGGAGAACCGTGACTACTCACGGGCCCAGCCGTGCAATTCGTGCCCCGAGCTCTGGTCGGTTTGGGTGTTGTGCCCGGCTGGTGTTCACCGGCGCCTATCTGGCGGTCTCGAAGGGTCGGACAGCAACCGCGCCTGCGGTCGGGAGCAAAGGTGCCAGCTCGGGGTAACTTCAACCTGCCGGTAGCTTGGGAGGGGTCCCTCGGAGAGCGACAAAGAGAGAGCAGCCGATCAAGAATTCTGCCACTGCCTTGAGTTTTCAGGTCTAGGTACTTCAATCTCGTGACGGCTGACAGAGGGAGTGGTGGAAGTTGGAAGGCGGCCATGGTCAATTAAGGGAGCACCTGATGACGGAAGCATCACAGGAGTGGTAGGCGGGATCAAATTATCTGCATGAAAACGGAGGGCTGAGAACGGGCTGTGCGCTTGGCAATGCTGTCGCCTGATTGACTTGAAGGAGCTGCTGCATGGCTTGCAATGTTCGGGGGATCCGACTCCAGCAATCACTCGTAGACCTGTTCGCAACAACACCAGGTGAGCTTTGGCTGAAGCGTGAGGAGCTGGGCAAGAAGGAGCTCTGTGATCTTTGGTACATCTGTACTGTTTGCCTAAAGGTTGCGGGCTTCTGCTGCTGGCATGTGTGCTGTCAGTGACGGCACGACATTCCTCTTTCTGAACCAATCTGAAGGCGATTGCAAAAGCATAAAGATAAGGAAGGAGCAATTCTTGTCTAGTCTCCCTGGTTACAATGGTGGTAATAAGTCTATTATTGTGGAAAATAATAGAAAACTACCGCTCTGTGAAGCACCCTGATGATCCGTGGCTTGTAAACTGTGTTCTTTCCATGCTACAGGGCCTTGTAATAGTCTCTCCACTACCTTGTTTCCTGCCGTAAACATTTTCAGTAGTGATCGCCACCTCAGATCACTGAGACTGGCTTTCAGGGATTAGAAGCTTCTTGCAAGGCCTCAATATTTGACGAGCTACCACGAAAAATGTGCAATTTCAGACCCGCTTATAAAGAGTTATGTGATTGACCTTATCAATCTTTCTAGAGTGAGCGGAAGCCTGGTGCTTACCTGCTTTTTCATTTAAATGGAATCTATTTTGTGGTTGTTGAATGCAGCGCCTCAGTTAGGCAGACAGATCTTGAAGAAGGCTAGCCAAGCAGGCTGCTTGAAACAACGTTTCTCTTTGGACCAGCCTCCACAAAGGCTTTACTCCAGGGTAAGCTTTGGTTCTGCTTGACTAACCTGCTACTCTGATTTGCAGTCTCTTTACGCAACTTGATTGCTCAAACTTCAAAGACATTGATGGGATCTCCAGATTGGGAGAAGGTCTGTGGATGCTGACAAGCTCTGCTTTATCAAGCAAACCCACTCGCACTGGCTGTCCTAATCTGCTCTTACCAACATTGACTAAAGAATCGTCAACATCTCATGCTGGTACTGCTGATCGCAAAGCCCATGACTATCCTAGATGGTACCCCTGAGAGGTCAGAGGTTGAAGTTGATTCACTAATTTGCCATTTCTGACTTTCTTTCTGAGCAACTAAAACTGGTGCGCCCCAATTCGGACGATCTAAATTCGATCGGACGAACCCGGAACTCATACTCGAACTCAATGAAACCAGTCTGCGACTGCTCGTGCGCTTCGGTTTTCAATGTTGCGCTGAAAACTACCATCTGGAGATGAACCGTGCACGACACTTAGTTATACACTTGCGTGTGCGGCCGCAGACAGGAGCTGATAGTAAGGAATTGAACTTCGGCTTTGCCCGTCCGAAGTTGAAAAAGTCCGAAATACGGCACACCAGTCTTATTGCTCACTCTTTTGCGCAGACACGAGCCATGGCTGCGGAGCCCTTTCCCACCAGCTTTGCGGAGCCGGTGAAGTCGTACGATGCGCACATCTACTTCTTCCAGGACAACCCCGCCTCGTCAGCCTCCGCAAAAGCCCTCCGCGAGGAAATCATCAAGGAGTTCCCGCACCTGGAAGTCTATAAGTTCTGGGAGAAGCCCATCGGACCACACCCGACGGTGAGTTTCTTCAAAGGTTCCGGAATCTGATGTTGATTCATGTTCGCAGAACCATCCGTGATAGGGACGTACGAATAGATTTAAGCTTCTCTCAGGGGATCGATTTCGATCTTGGTCAAGGACCGAATAAAAGCATCAGCTTCGTTCCACTTGTGCACCCAATGAAGACGTGTTGACCTGCTCGTAGCAGGAACGAGACCGAGCGGAGGCGTAGGTGAGGGGTTCTGAAATATAAGGGGCTTGATTTCGGACACTTTCCAGATTAATCAAAGTGGCATGTGGATGAAGATTAGGACAAGACCACGATTTTGGAAAACCAGGTATCCACTTCCTCAGTTGACGTTCTTTCAGCTGCTTTTTGGTCCCTTGTCCTCAGCATCGAATGATACTTAGAGTTCGAGGCTCGAAATGGGTGATGCTTCAGCACTCAGTGAGTCAAGGAACGAGCGTTGTCTCATCTCACCGTGCAGGGAATGTTCGAGGTGGACATGCGGACCCCCGCCCAATTCGCCGAGTTCGTCCCCTGGATCCAAGTCCATCACGGAGTGCACTCGGTGCTCATTCACCCCCACACCGGAGACGACTTCGGTGACCACACTCACAGGGCGCTGTGGCTTGGGGACAAGGTGCCCCTAATTACGAGTATTCTAAAAAGGGCCGAGCAACCGCCGGCATAGCTGGTCTCAGCTTTGTGCTAGAGGCTCGGTGTGTTTGAATTGAGGGAAACTCAGATGAGGAATCTTTGACGTGATTGAAGATTCAGACGGGGTCGTCTTTGGTACGCAAGCGAGTGCCGAGGACGCCCTTGCATGCATGAAGAAAGATTTGGAGTATGCTTGTGGATACTTAGGGCAAAATGTCATCTGAATAGTTTCGTTCAATCATGTCAAACAATGTACGAAGGGATACTAAGACTCAAGATTTACAAGAGTCGACACGATTAAAACGCGAGTTATATAATCAAGTATTGCAATCATTCGATCGATCCGACGCGCTTGTTATGCATATATGCGAATTCCAGTCCGATCGGTCTAGCCTTACTATAGTCAAAATTCTCAAGAAACTCAGTTCGGAAGTCAAAATTCTCAAGAAACTCAGTTCGGTAGCCGTTTGAGATCAGCCGACGACGTGCATATGTATCATGGCATGGACTCATACTAGCGGCCACCGGAGCGCGCGGGCGGCCGGCCTGGAGAGCTGATCGAGCCTGCGCGCTATTGCGAAATTTAATGCATGCGGTCAAAGTGGCATTGGACCGTGCGCGGCGATGCATGCAAATGATTGTATCGTACTTCAGCGCTAGCTGCTAGCTGCAAGTCGATGACTCAGACGGTCACTCATGGCCGGGACGGTAGCAAGCACGTTGCAAAATGAAATTACGCATATACACCATGATTTTACTGAATGACTTAGTACGTTGTTTATGCATATGCACATGGATTTTCGAATTTCGACTAATTCGTGCAGACTCAGCACTCGATCAGGCTGTTTTTGCTGGCGTTCCTTGACTCGTTAAAGAGGGCGTCGCAGGACCGGTCCTATACGAGCGACTACCTGACCTACAGCGTCTCGCCCCTTGCAAGTGGGCAGGGCACGCCGCGGTACCCCAACCGCACCGTCAAATCCTACATCTTCGCCCTGTTCGATGAGGATCTCAAGTACACCATTGACGTACACATGACGTCACAGAAGCGACATCGAAGCATGGATTTGTGGTACGCAGTCGCCTGAAATTGGTATCAGCGGTGTTTTCCCCGAGCAAAACTCTCTGCTTTAAGTGACCGGTGCTGACGTCACGTAGACGCCCTCTTTAAGTTGATTCAGCGAATCATTGCCCTGGTGTTATCGTTTACTATCATACCGTCACATGCAAAATGAACATCCATGTATGCGTTTTGTCAGGCCAGAGATTTCTAGCTTACTAGCATTCCTGAGGAGATTTCGATTACTGTCATTCGACTTGATACAAATCGACCGTGGATCGTTAACCGTTATCCAGTCTCGTAAACAACCAGTGCACGTTTTGTAGCATAATCTAATATCGTTCGTTCATGATCTAATAATCTAATAATAGTTAATAAGCATTTTGTTTAATCAAAAGCAAGGCAGCTCATGCGTTTTGGAAGCTTGATTTGAGCGCACAGGATAATATGTCAAGTTTTCTTACGATGAGAAGCTCCTTTCTCGTCTTCTTTTAGGAGGGACCCCAGATGCCGCTGCAAGGTCCACAGCTCCACAAAGAAACAATACGCCCTGCCTGCAACAAAAAACACACCCAAAAACAGAAAGAGGGACGGGGCAGCAGAGCTGCTCCGACTGTCACTGGATTTATCTACATGTTGCCGTAGCCACAACCACAACGGCAGAAAATGAAGGCCCCCAATGCAAAGGACTCCTGATGGGCTTTTGAACCCGTTCTTCACAACACTGGTCACCCACCAAGGTGCATCTCTGAAGCACCCTTCCTTCCAGGCTGCACCCCCTTGGCTGTGAGTAGCCGCTAAAACTAGCCACTCTAGAGCGGGAAGCAAGCATCCGACTGGACCCGGGACAGCCATTGTCCACATCACTTGTCGCACCCCGTTGTCTATGCACACGTCCAGAAAGGCTCCAAAGGAAGAAACCTGCGGAAAAGAAGAAACGAATCTAACAGACTTCTAACATGTTCATCTCAGCGTGTCTCTTATGAGCACCTCAACTTCGTTTATGACTCTGGGTCCAAGATCGATTGAAAATGGAGTTTCGAGAGTATGTCCTTGCAGATGAAGAGGCGACACCGATTCTGTATCTTAAGTAGCACCACCTTTGATCTAACTTTAAGAGACGGTTCTCAGTTTGCAAGGTTGTCGAGGTGCTCAAAGTGAAAGATGTGGCACCAGAATAGGATCGCTGCAGGCCAAGCACCTGCGCCACAGATTCATGGCAAGGCAGACCAAAAAGTAGAATCTATGGATGGGGGTCAACCAGTGGCCAGCCATCACCACCAATCAATCATAAACGTATGGACGTACCTGATTGAGGCTTCTTGCGAGAATGCCATCTACACCATCTAGAAAGAATCCCGCCACGTAGAGTGCAGCAAACAGCAGCGGCTGCTCTCTCTGGTCCCAGGGCCCAAAGAAAGTGCCAACTGCCATGACTATTCTGACATAGTCCACGATGTTTGGCCAGAATAGCAGGACCCTGGTTTGCCCAATAGTCTTCTCTAGTTTGGCAGCATCCGATGCCGCCATTGCATGCAGACGTGCAATCAAAGTGTTCAGCAGCAGCAGCTCCTGCAGCTCAGGGCTGCCTGCCAGGATGTCTTGGCAGCAATTTTGCAAGACAATTTCGCAGTATCAGCTGATCCTACGCCTGCAGATCGTGACTTGAATCCAGCTTACAGCCCCACGCACAGCATTGCTTAGAGGATGCTGATTCTGGTATTTTCCGACAACCTCTAAGCTGATAGCTTACTCTGTTGCCTGAGAATGAGATCTCCCAACAACTCACTGTTCTTAGGAGCAGCATGGGAACGAGCTGCCGAGCTGAACCGCCCAGCAGCTGCCGCTATGCGGCTGATCCTGTAGGGGCACCTTTCTAGCCAAGCCAATGTTGCCCCTTGCGACTAGCTCCGTGGGATAAGAGAGGATTGTGGCGCCTCACCCAGCGCACAAATGCTGTGAGACTGCAGCTGAGCTCGAGATTGTACATATGGCTGGCCTCTGGATCTAGCCGCGGGTGCGACCGCGCGGCCGCACCTATGATCGGGCGCGGCCGGCGAATGTCTAGCTGGCGCACTAACTGTCGGAGGCGAGGCTGGCCGCTTGAGCTTCCGACAACGCCGTCCATTCCGACGCGAGCCTTGAGCATGTTCCCTTCAATACGGCGATATGTTTGAGAAGTAGTCCATTCACGATTAGGACTAGGGACTTTCATGGGACTTTCATGCAATACTTCCACGGGAGAATATGTGGAACCGTTGCATGGATCATGACGTGCTGGCATCTATATATAAGGTGTGTTTCGATTTGAAACATGGGAAGATTGCGCCTACCATAATTATTTGTGTGAGTCCCTAAGTATACGTACCATGAGTACGTGTTTTTTTGTCGAATGAAGAGTAACTTAACCTTCTAGCTAGAGTTGAGGTGGAACGTTTCAATCAAGACGCTTATGACCCATGATGCCCACCCGTCATCAACCACTGCACAAGGATCGCAGTAAGGAACATACGGTGGCTATTTACAGTCTCCCAAAGGAGCGCCACAAATGATCGAGCCCATGATCATCGAGGTTCCGACACACGTCCAGCTTGCCAAGTTGGTAGTCACGAATGAACAGGAAACAACCAATGATGACTGGAATGATCATCCTGAGCTGTCCGCCTGCAAGCGAGGACCACAACCGAACTTTTCATCCAACACGCAGTACACAGTATGAACTTGAACATACGGAAGCCTGTTAGAGCGGCCCTCTTTCCTGCTTCTCCCTGACCAGCGTGCCCGAGATGAAGCCCAAATCTAGCAGCCCCTTCTGACCCCACCCCTTTACTCCGTCCTGAATGCTGGGCCTGAATCTTACATACAGATTGTAGCACTCCGCCCCTAGTTCCTCCGGATCATAAGTGCCCGCCAGCAACTCCATAGCCGCCCGGGCCGATGCCCAGTTATGCGCAAAGGCCTTGCTGAGGAACGCCTTGATCGGGCCCGGCGCGAGGAGCCGGTTCTCGCTCACCGCTTGGAGCCCGTCTTTCAGCCGTTTGGCGGGGAGCTCCGTGTTGAACACTCGATACATTTCCACCCCCTCCATTTCCTGCTCTTCCGCACCCCCCCCTTTGATGATCCCCAGCCTGCGTCCCTTCGTTTGCGCGTACATCGTAGTCACCGCTTTCCCAAACGATAGCCCCTCTTCGAACGAGAACCCCTGCCGCACTGCAACTACCGCCACCCACAGATTCAGTACCGGCCCCCGGTTAATCCAAACCATGCCGCCAACCGGCGCCCCCCCCGGTTGCACAGGAAGCATCCCAGGCCCTGTCATCACCGGTCCCGCACCAATCCCAGGCGTAACCCCGTCAACACTGCCAGACACAGGGCCCTTCGCAGCGCCAAGGTACAGCGACGGTCTGGGCGCTTTTGGCTCGGGCTTCTCCCTGTCCTCCTGAAAACGGACCTGCTTCTTACGTTTCAGGGGGGTCAGGAACTGGCGCCCGCTGGGCTTGTCCACCCCCCCGTCAGGCTGCGCCATTGTTTCTTCCAACCGAGAAGCGAAGTCTGCGGGATCGCTCGTGAGCCGCAACACCGCATCGTCTACGCCCCCGCTCCCATCCCCGTCTCTCGTAGAAACCTCCCCGGTTTCCGTCCGCAAACCCTCCCCGGTTCCGTCAACCTTCCCTAACCCTCCGTCCGCAGTACCCGGTTCTATCCCCTCCTCTTCTTCGTCCGGCACGAACCCGCCCCCCCCATGCAGCGCCTCCTCGTCAGCAGTAACGTCATCTTCCTCCAACACGAACCCTCCCCCGCTCTCCCGGGCCTCGACGGCGGCCGCCTCCGAAACCTCCAAACCCTCTGAGACCGCAAAACCCTTCGCTCCCCCGAGCAATTCGTCCGCAGCCGCCGTCGCGTCACCGGACCGCACTTCTCTCAGCGGAGCTTCATCCGAAACCCCTCCAACCCCGGCAAGTCGCGGCTTCGCGGCCGCCACCGCCTCAGCGGCCTGCAGAAGGCGCGTCTCCCGGTCCTTGGACCCTGAACCCCGCGGCCGCTTGCTGGGCGACGCGTCCGGATCGTCATCGGACAGCTGGTAGTCGCTCACGCTGGCGTCCGAATGCTCGATCGACGGCTCTGCGTAGGCGACTTGCGCTCTCTGTCGCTTCGACTGTGCAGAAAGACAGGGGTGAGCCTTCGGAGGATGAGAGACCGCGAGTCGCTCAGTGAGATCTTTGGAAGAGTTGCTCTACGAAGTGACAATTTGTCAAGTACGATCGACTTCCACTAAGCAGCTGCTTGACCGAGCTGTGTTGCTTGTGAGTAATTCCCGGATTCGCGGAGGCTGTGACAAGAGAGTAAGACGTCCGCCGTAGTACCACCCGGTCGGCTCAATAACAGACAAGTGGATTCATGTTCACGACTCATATATTTGAGTGTTGAGTTGTCAGGGAAGCTCTAAAAGAGCGGCAGGTGGAAACCAACGGCCGACCTATTGCCAATCAACAGAACGCTGTCCAATAGACCATCCGCAATGCATCCAAAGCGATCTGAATCCCCTTCCGCAATGCTCCCACGAGACCACAAAAGCAACCCAAACGCTGAAAACTATATACAAAAGCTCACCCTTCTCGATGGCGGCGCGGCCGCTTCGGCAGGGCCCCCGTTCAACACATCCGCTTGTCCCGTTCCTAGTTCTTTGGCCCTCTCAACCTCGGCTCCCCTTCCCCGACCACGGCCTCTGCCACGCGTCCCCGTTTCGCCTCTTCCACGTGGGGCGGCCTTACCCCTCCCACGTGTTCCCCTCCCGGCACCCCTGCCCACCGACCGAGCCGCCTTCTCGATACTCCTTCCGATTTCCGGATCCAGCTCGACACCTCTAGAAGTTCCCGCTTCAGCTATTTCTTCCCCTTCCGCTCCTGACTCGATAAGCTTCCCATTCGTCTCTTTGTTGCCGCCAATCCTGGCCGGTGCCGCCTCTCTCGTAGTTCCCGCTTCAGCCGCGTTCTCCCGTGCACTTCCGGATTCTATAGCCTTCCCGTCCCTCTTCTTCTTCCGGCCCTTCTTCACTGGCGCCGCCTCCATTTCGTCCGCCATGAGTTCCGCGTTCTTCTTTCCGGTGATTCCGGTCACGGCCTTCGCAATCCGCTTGGAGCGGATCTTGGCAAATCGCTGGCTGAACCCGAAGAAGGACTCGAGGCGCGTCTGGGACTCGTGCGCGTCGAACGCCTTCACCACCGGCTGCAGGATCTCGTCCGACTTGTCCTTGCGCCACGAAAACTGCGTGCAGACATTGGAGCACTTGAAGCACACGTAGCAGTCACAGTGAACTGAGCAAGTTTGACTGAAAGCTAGTGACGAAAACAATCTGAGATTTAAAATTGGCATGCCCTTCCGACATGCTTTTCCGCGCCAAGACTAGTACGCGGGTGAAAGGGAGCCGGATCAAAAGAGTACGCCTATCGCCCGAACCGCTCTGACCAGGTACGCAAGTCACGACAAGAATTCAAGTCTCCACATTTTCGTGAACTGAAGTTCCTGTTTGAGCATCTTCTCCGTCAAGTCAGCCTTATCAAGGCACGAGGCATGTCAGGCAGTTGAAGTCACGACCGTGGACGAAGAAACACTCAGAACATTGAGAGAATTGGACAATCGAGCAAGCAACGTCTTTGATTCTCTCCCAAGGAGCAAACTGCATGAACAACAAAAGAGACGCAAACGACATTTGCACCATTTGCGGCAAGTCCGTTCCGCTCACCCGTTCGAAGCAGAACTGGTGCAGCGCCTCCAGGTCCGGCCGCCCCCACTCGAACTTCTCCTCTGACGTATCCACCCTCGGACGCGTGTACGCCGCCACGACCGCGCGGTCCGGAAACCGCGGCGGCACCGTCCAGTTCTTGCTCACGTTCCGGTGCTTCGCGGCAAACGCTTTTAAACGGACGGTCTCCTCGTTTTCCTCCTTGGGGGCCCTGTTTTCGGCCAGGTTCGCTGCGATCGCCAGCTCTGCGTCCTCTTTCACCTCCGCCTTGACCTCCAACAGGGCCTCGCCGGTTCCGGTTCCGCTGTTCCGATTCGTGGCGAGCGACGCGAGCGGTCGGTCTTCGTCGTCTGACTCGATTTTGGCGGAGGCCTTGTTTTCGGCCTGGTTGCGCTTTTCCCGGGCTTTGGCGTTCTTTTGCGCGGCAGCGAACAGGGCCTCGTCGGGAGCATCCAGCCAGTCCCGAAACTTGGAGAGGCCGTCGGGGCCGGAAAACGCGTTCACGACTTCGATGGCGTTCACGATGCCGATGCCGCTGCAAAAGGGAGGGCATGCGTTAGCGTATGATCTGCACACACGGGAGGGCTTTCAGACTTGGGGATACGTGACGAGGAATCGTAATGCTAACGTCTTGCGGCTTTGGAACAGACAGGGATAGCTTTTGTAAAGACGGGAAGCGTGAAACGTCCCGAGAGTGCATAGCAGCCCGCACCCCTGCTGCCAAAGACGAGCGTTCCCAAGAAGATGCGTAAGGTTCCTACGAGCTGCAAGAACTTCCAGAAGCATTCAGCCCCGAAGCACTTTTACTGCGAACACAGACCTCCAAAGAAAAGAAGTTTACCCGTTACAACCAGGGGCAGATACGTTGGTTGGGCGCTGTGGCGCACAGCAACATAACAGCGATGAAAAAGTAGAAACCAGGAAGACTGATACGTACAGACCAAACTGCACCAGAAAGCAATCTTGTGTCTGGGTTTCCCCGCCGCACCTGATGCCCTCGGTGTAGTCACTACCAAGGAGCGTGGCCATGTTGATGAGCTTCTGTTGATCCAGGCCCATCTCACTTTCGATGTCGCGCAAATAGTACGTCTCCACGTACTTCTTGTTGTCGAAGATGTTCTTGTACACCGCCTGGAAAAGAAGAAAACACGTTTCTCTGCTGTGGAGACTCTCCTTTGAACATTCAAAATTCTCTTGATTGGCTGCGAATGTTTCCTGTGACTCAACATAAGTAGAGGCTCTGCGGAACTACATTTTGTTACAAGCGAGTGCCGCTGACATCGAGCACGTCTCAATACGCCACCCGCATCGGTCCGGAGAGCTTGTCAAAGGCCCACTTTGGCTTCAAAGAAAAACACGTTGCTGTCACGACTCCGTTGACGGGCCCCATCTTGTTCATCTCCGTAATCCGCGAACCAACGTCCCGGAAGTAAGAACAGATCCAGGGAAGTCTGAAAACAATCTTCAGCTATTTGCCCAATTTGTCCATCGCTGCGCACGGCGCATCCTCCAACGTACAAAACTCAACATAAGTCCCAGACTATGTGGAGACATGTAGAGAACAACAAGAAAAGAGATACCTCAAGAGGTACGGAAAACCCAATGCCCCCACCTTTGCGCCAAATAGGAACACGTCCCTGTCGTCCGTCACAACCTCATCGACCAGCCCCATCTTGTCCTTTGCCGCGCACTGCACTCCTCTCCATCCATGAAACCCTGAGGTACGAAAACATCCCCAAACATTCTAAAGAAAAGACTTGAAAGCCCGTCGTCCCACCTTGGCTCCAAATAGAAAGACGTCGCTATCGTCCGTCACGACCCCGTCCACGAGCCCCATCTTATCCATTGCCGCGCACTGCTTCTTTCGTCCATCATTTGACCAAAAGAAAACGATTGATACGTTTTGTGGACAACATACGACAAACAAATACGAAATAGAAAAGTACAACGGAAATTAAAAACCCCTTGCCCCACCTTGGCGCCGAACAGGAACACGTCGCTATCGTCCGTCACGACCCCGTCCACCAGCCCCATCTTATCCATTGCCGCGCACTGCGCCTCTGCCTCCATCGGCGCAATAATGAACGGGATGCCGAACATTTGCAGCAGCTCCTGGCACTCGGAGAACATCTCCCCGGTAGCCGACTCGGCGTTGATCGTGTTGGCGCGCTGCGCGTACTGCAGCTCGGCTTCTTCGTCCTCCAAGAGCGCGCGCTCGCGCTCAATCTCAGCCTGCGAGGATGGGAGAGAATTGATTGAAACTCGGCAGACTTGTATTAAGCAGTAGTTGGAAACTTCGAAAGTCGTAGTCCAGCTGTATTGTCATCCGTCGGCAGAGCATTTGTGCGCTCATTGTCCGTCTGTGGACTGTGGTCAGGGATTCGGACAAGAATCTGACTCTTCCACACCCTTGTTCGGTCCGCTAGGATTCAGAGCGTTGGACGATCTTGAATTTGCATTCTGCTGAAGCCTACAATCACTGACCCGCTCGTCCTCGGCAACTGTTGCGTGGTGCTCCCCAGCTCACGCCATGCTGCCATAGAGGTTGTAATGCGGACCGCTCCATTTGCCGTCTCCGTTCCGCAAACAGTGCAACAATAATCTCAGCAAGAAAGGCGGCAAGAACAAGCTTCGGCACTAGATATACCATCTCAGACACAAGTCAGAACACGTGCAGCTAATTGTGAGCTAAAAATGGTTAGGCGCAAGTTTGCTGTCAGTCCAAGCGATCAGCAACGGCTACACACTCAATTTCGCAACCCAAGAATCAGGAGAAGCTTTCAACCTCTGTAACAGACCGTTCCGAATTGGACTCACAGGGTGCCTGCATTTACTGGGGCACGAATCAGGCGACCGCTCATGAGGTCGGAGCAACCGTACCTCAGACTGATTTTCCTAGGTAGACGAGCAACCGTACCTCGGACAACGTGCCCCAAATAGACGACGTACCCTACATAAGAGGACGTGCTCTGTTGAAAACAAAAATTAGCCTTTCATAAGACAACGTCCCTCACATAAGACAACGCGCCCTACAAAAAACGACCTCCTAATACACGAAGCCGTACCTGCAGCGCCGCTTCTTCTGCTGCCAACCTTTCCCGCTCGTCCTGCATCTCCGCCTCCTTCTCCAACGCTTCCCGCTTCGCCTTTTCCTCCGCTAGCTTTTCCCTTTCCGCCCGCCTTGTCTCCTGCTCCCTTAACAAGCGCCCCTGCTGCGTGCTCCCCTCAAACATCACTTCCCCGCCCCGGGGGGTCGCTATCCTCACCCCTCCCGACGCCCCCAGAGCGGCGTCCGGCTCGTGAGCCGCCCCCCCGTTGGGAGCGTCCGCATCGGATGATCCCCCGAAATCGAGCCCCGCACTTCGTCCGACTTCCACTTCCGACCGTGATCCTGCCAGTTCTCTCCGTGACGATTCGCCCGCACCTAGTTGCTTTTCGTGCACACCGCTCGCCGCGCTTCCGGACGCCCCCGCACGGAATTCCGGCCCCCCGGTTCCGGGAACGGAATCCACAAGGCTCTCGGCGATGGCGGCCTCCATCTCCAGAGTCTCCTGCTCGGCGCGTTCCCAGTCCTGCGCCTCCTTCTCCCGCCGCTCTAGTTCGTGCCGGTCTTCCGACAGCTCTTCCTCGTCCTCGAGAAGCTCGTCAATGTCCGGAAAAGACGGAGGGGCGTCGTCCGCAAACGGGTTCCGCATATTGCTGGGCCGGGGGGGTAACGAGTCACTCACTTTTGGGAGACCGTTTGTGGGCCGAGCGCTCGATTTGCTCGCGGTGCCGGTTAGAGAGGGGTTTTCAACAGGGTTTGGAAGAGGGTTTGACCCAGCTGGAGGCGTTATTTTGGAGGGGGTGTTCAGTGGCGGAGTCAAAAGCCCCTCAGGCGAGAACTTTGACTGAGGGTTAAGATCCGCGGAGGGGTTTGCAGAGACTGTCGGATCCGCTGTTACTGCCGGAGCGCTCGGAATGGGGTCCGGCAAAATGCTCGGTAGCACGGATGGAGGGAGCGTTGCTGCGTCAACAAGTGGTGGGTTTAAGGATCTTGTTTGGTCCGAAACCTGTCCAGAAGCGCGTTCGTCTGGTTGGACTTGAGAAATGTCCGTTTGCTGGGGGCGTGCTTTTCCGTCACCTGTCTGTACACTGGAGGGGACATTTGCAGCGCCCGTTAAGGGCTTATTTACTTTACAATCTGGTTCCTCATGCCTCGCAGCCTGTTCCTCCCCAACTCTTCCCTTGCCCTTTCTCGCCCTCTCCCGCGCGAAAAACGCCTCTTCTCCATCCGCAATCTCCACTACCGAGTCGGTCGCTGGCTGCTTTCCATTGTTTGCTGCAGCTAGTGGTTCTCCCGCTCCTTTTCCTTCTCGGATGACAATTCCCTTAGAGGCTTTCCCGCCCCCTGCCGCGCCGCCAGCCCCCTGGAAATCCTTTAGGCTTCTCCGTATCGCTTCTTCCAAGTCCGCGTCCTCCGCCAGCGCGCCAATGCTCGGCAGCGCCCCCGTCGGATCGTCCAGAACCGCCGCCAGTGTCGCCAGATCGTCTAGGCTTCCTGCAGTCTCACTTTGCTCGCTGGAGAAGTCTAAAGGTTTCGACACCGGGTCCGCTTTCCCAAACTGCCCGCTGCCGTCCTCCCACTCGACATCGCTCCCGTCGTCCATCACAAACGGGCGCACGCTTTCTCCATCCGCTGTTAGAACAAGCGTTTCTTCGAGACGTCTAGCACCCGCTTTGGAAATCAGTCCTCGACTCGCTATCCCCGGCTTCTTTAACCCCACGTTCTCCACGCTCTCAAACTTTCCGGCTCCCATTTCTGTCTGCGCTTGGTCAGCAATTGTAGCAGCGACTGAGTTCCTTGCCACCCCCCCGGTTTCGAGCACGCCCCCATCTTCCCAGTCCATCTCGTCCTCACTCACAACCAAGCCATGGCCGTTACCCATCTCGCTTACGTCAGCCCCTCTTCCGCTTTCGTCAGCCACTCTCTCGTTTACGTGAGCCCCTCCCTCGCCACCATCCTTCTGCGCAACTTGGATGCCGATGCTGATCTCTGCATCGGCTCTTTCCTGCTCCGTTCCGCCCATTCCGTTCGCCATTCCGCCCAATCCGTTCGCTTTCGCCAACCGCTCCGCCGCCGCCCGGGCCACTTCCGCAACTACCCCTGGATCCAGCTTTTCCCTCGCCCCTCCTTTCTTGAACATGTCGGCTGTGAACAAATCATCACCCTGCACCTCTGCACCCCCCTCGACGCTCACAGCGACATCGCCCCCCCCGGCGCCGTCCTCCCACTC